ATGACGTATTTAACATTGTACCAATTAACATTGTACCAAATTAACATTGTACCAATGTTAATTTGCTGGACTTGACAATTATACATGGCTATATAAATTGCTAACATTGGAGAAAGATGGGTAAAGAGTATATGTGAACTGTGATTTATTTTTGCAAATATTCTGTATGTTTAAAATTATTTCAAAATAAAATGTTTAAAAAGAACTTGAGGAGTCTTTACAGATACACTTTATCTTGGTAATAGTCCCCTGAGTCATTTGGTCAAGGATGTTATAAAATCAAATGATTACATTTTTTCTCATCTACAAAATACTTATATATGTGTGTATGTATGTGTGTGTGTGTGTGTGTGTATATATTCATTACCTATTTATTATTTATTAAGAAAGACATTAAGATTAAATCATATGCAAAATTTGGAAATGAAAATCAAAACCATAATGAGAGAACATCTTACTCCTGTTAGAATAGCTATAATCAACAGGAAAAGTAATAACAAATGTTGAAGAAGATGTGGAGAAATAGGAGCCGGTGGGACTGCAAATTGGTACCGTCACTACGGAAAACAGTATGGAGGTTCCTCAGAAAACTAAGAATTGATCTACCATATGATCCAGCAATCTCTCTACTGGGTATTTACCCCAAAGACTTGAAAAACCCATAACCAAAAAGATATTTGCACATTGATGTTCATAGCAGCATTATTCACAGTGGCCAAGACATGAAAGCAACTGAAGTCTCCTATGATAGATAATTGGCTAAAGAAGCTGTGGTAGATATATACAATGGAATATTACTCAGCCATAAGAAGAGATGAAATACTGCCATTTGTGACAACACGGATGGAACTAGAGATAAACATGTTAAGCAAAATAAGCCAGACATAAAAAGTTGAAAATCACATGATATCACTTATATGTGGGATATAAACCTAAAAGCATAGACATGGACTATATACTAGTGGTTACTAGTGGGGAGAAATAGGATGGGGGAGGTAGATTGGATAAAGGGGGTCAAATATAAGAGGATATGGTATGGGTGAAGTTGGTAATGGGGATCAAATATACGGTAGCTGAAGGAAACAAGACTTTGGGTGGCAAACACAATAGAACATACAAATGTCAAATTATAATGTACACCTGAAAATTATATAATTGTATTAACCAATGTTACCCCCAATAAACTTAATTTAAAAAAAAAAAGAAGAAAATTGAATAGTACTTACAAGGCCTAGGAGAGGGGGAATGAAGAGTTTTGTTTAAGGGGCATAATATTTCAGTTTGAGATGATAAAATCTAGGAGATATAGTAGAGATGGTTGCACAACCATGTGAAAGTACTAAAAACTACTGGAAGGTACACTTAAAATGGTTAAAATGTAAAAAAATAAGTGATCTATAAAAATTTGCATAAAGAATGGCCTGAAAATTTCTGTAAAGGTAGTGTTCTGACAAATATTAAAACATATTATACTATTACAGTGAAAAATAAAACAATTTGGTGCTGGCATATGCATGGGGAGAGTTCAAGGAACAGAAAGATGACTCGAATGCCTAAGAATTTAATGTATGATAAAAACTGGAACTTCAAAACTGTTGGAGAAAAGATAATTTATACAACAAATGGAGATGAGTGGAGTGGAAAAGAACCCTGTCTCATTCAATGTACCATAGTGTATATATCAATTTCAGATGGAACAAAATGATTTAAATGCAAAGAATGCAATCGGAACATATGGCTGAAAAGTTTACATAATTTCATCATGGGGACATCACACTTTTATGATAGAGACACAACACTCATAGCCATTGGAGAAAAAATTGATATATGCAACTATTAATGTAAAACTTCTGCGCATATACATAACCACTGATGGGAGAAGAGTTAAATAAATATGGTCTATATTAAAGTTATCATTAAAAGGAAAGTGAGGAGGGAGGAGGTAGAAAGGGTAAAGAAGGTCAAATATATATTGACAGAAGTAGATCTGACTTTGGGTGATGAACACACAATACAATATACAGATGACGTATGATTGAATTCTACACATGAAATATATTTTTATAATCAATGTCACTCCAATAAATTTAACAAAAAATAAAAGGATGAACATAAATCTAAATACAACCCTAATCTAAGACAGTAAGTGTAAAACATGAGAGTTTTAGAAAGATATGAACAGCACGATCTCATTTCAGTTTAAGAAAAAAGTAAAAAATGCTAAAGTATGTGTATCTACACATATAAGGATACTGATGTATAGAAACAGATAAAAAGACACCTACACTATTCAGTTACTAATTCAGGTAATGTACTAGGGGAAAGAGAAGGAGATTAATCTTTAACTCTGTATACTCTCCTAATGTTAGAAGTTTTACAATTTAATATGCATATACTACTTATGTAATTGAAAGTTATACACAGCAATCTATATCCAACAGTATAAAATCTTAAAAGAAAAGGGACTAGTAAGAATAAGGCAAAGAAAAAAACCTAGAAAAAATATGTTCACTTTGTGTCTAAAGGGCTTTAATTTATGAGTTCTGACAAATCAATAAGAAAAGGTTTAAGATATTTGAGAAAAGATCCCTGCAGTTTATCTTCTTTATAAGCATTTCCTCACAATCAATTCTATCTTCTTTGAGACAGTAAACTGTATCAGTATTTTATACATCCTTTATGAATTCTTATGATCAAGTCTTTTAGAAGAGCATATCAGCAAACATAGTATCCCACAATGCATAGGCTCACTAGGACTATGTGAGTAAACATGGATGGGTTGACGAGAATAAACAGCATATGCTATCTTAATGTATCAGTCCACTAAAAAAAAAAATCTTCCCCACCCCCAAATCTCAGAGCACTGAATTAATGTACTCAAGGAGGCTACTAGGTACCAGGTAAACAGAAATTATGAAAAGGTGTTCTAATTACGATGTTATCATACACAATTCCCCTCAATCCTTTAAAATATTAGGACAGTAGAAAATATACAAAAAAATTAGAAGCCAGTAATTGAAATTTGTTTGAGTTCATCACCCTTATTAAAAAACAGGAAACTAAGCCTACAGAAAGGATGTTACTTGAGTAAGCAGAGCCAAACTAGGACCCTGAATAAGGTCAGCACGGGTTAATACTCTTTCTATTACAGTAGTCCCTCATTATCCATGAAGGATACTTTCCAAGACACCCAATGCCTAGAATTCCAGATAGTATCAAACACTATAGATATATTATGTTTTCTCCTATACAGACATACCTATAATAAAGCTTAATTTACAAATTAGATACTGTAAGAGATTAACAACAATCATAACAAAATAGGACAATTATAAGAATATCCTGTAATAAAACTGATGTGAATGTGGTTGCTCATTCTCAAAATATCTTATTATATTTTACTATCCCTTCTTCTTGTGATGATGTAAGATGATATAATGCCTACATGAAGAAGTAATGTGGATACACTGGACAAAGGATGTTTCACGTCTCTGGTGGGACAGAGAGGGACACCTTGGGATTTAATCGCACTACTCAAAATAGTAAGTAATTTATGAACTGTTCATTTCTGGAAATTTCCGTTTAATGTTTTTGGACCATGGTGGTTGCAGATAACCGAAACCACAAAAAGTGAAACTGTGGATAAAGGGGGATTACGGTATTCCTCTTGTCTCTTGCTTCTGCTGCAACAAAAGGATAGCCAGAGATAGCAGTATTGAAGCAGGAAGACGATTCCTTCCACTATATCAAATAATCTCTCAGGTCTTAAGCAGAGCAGTTAATCAGTCATCCATACAAGAAATCCTCCGTTTCATTTTAATAAATATGAACTTTTCCTAACTTTCAGTTGCTATAAAATTTACTTTCTTTTGCCAGTAAATGCATAAAGATAAAAAGAATAATTGTATGAAGCAAGGAGAGGTGGGGGTGGTAGAAATACAAGTCTTGTTCTAGAGACAGCAAATATTTCCTAGTTTAAATGGTGCTGTATAAAAAAGAACTAAACTGGTTGCAGTCCAGGAAATAAAACATAGTCCTTTACCAGGAAAATAACCTGTAAAAGTGTCACCAGATCACTTAAAAGGCGAATAAAATGGTGAAATAACATACATATTGAAAAAAAAGACATGGACCTTCCTCTTTATTAATATTGATAGGAGTGATGCTGTAAGTCATATGAGCTTCCCTTTAGAGTTTCCTATATGCTAGGTACTGTAAGTGGTTGAAATACATCCCAATGTTACATTACTATCACTCAGTGAGGAAAGCATTGAATCATTTTACATATAAGTAAACAAATTTAAGTTTACATAACTTGCCAATTTTACATACTTGTGTTTATCTGCTGACAATGGCAAATAATTTTACAATCACTAAGTATAACAACTAAAGTAGTTGTAGGTATGTACGTCCTCTACATTTTTAAGAATGATGAATAAGTGCAAATCACCAGAAATTTAAGAACTTTTTGAAAATCAGGAAGAATTAAAACAATATTGAAATACATAAGCAGGAAGTTACTAAAGCTGAGGCATGGTAAATTATAGGTTTTGAACTAGGCCAAGTTGACACTGGATAAAAATATAGATTGGAGCAAATACTTGGGAATTAATGCTTTATTTTCATTATATAAATTATGCTTTTCATTCTTTACTTAAAAATTCCCATGCTTTGATTTACTCTGAAAATGGTTGCTATATATTTTTATTCATAAAACTGCCAAACAGAAATTTATACGCCTGTGTGATGCACATGACATACTAAGACCCTATGAAAACATACAAAATAACAGCAGCAGAATTGTTTGCAAATTGTATATCACACATGTCATGGAAATGAATACAAGGAAGTTAAATACCAGTATGGCTTTATTTCATGTATTCAGTATAATCAATATTTGATGTCAAAGAAATGAAATATAAAAAAGAAAAGAAAAAAGACACTTTTCGTACCTTTAATACATTCTGGCATCGCGGGCTCCCATATACTGTTAGCATCACAAAAAATTGTGTTGCTGCCTTTAAGGTAAAAACCCTTCAGGCATTCAAATACAACCTTCGCTTTGTAGTAATATTTAGTTTTAAATCCTGACACCAGTTTTCCTTTCTTGAGGACTGGATTTTCACATTTGACCACTGTGAAGTGGAGAAATTTCAGAATTAACAAAAAACTGCTTTAATATAGGACAGAAAAACTAGTACAAAGTAGTAATTTCAAGTGGGAACAGAGAGACAAGGAATGAAAGGCAGAATGTTAATTTAAAAAAAAAAAGACTTGATTTATGCATTTTAATGCAAGGTAAACAGATTTAGAGAACTCTAACAACTTTTTCCCACCTAGAGCAAACTGTCATTATAGCTTATTGGTTTCCCACATTTTTTTTTTTTTCTACTGCAAATTTTGTGAAAGTTCTGACTACCGTAAAGAAATTCTGGCTAAGTACAAACACGACTATTGATACTCATTAGCTTTAGGGATTTCTTTTTTTCAATTAGAGTTGACATTCAATATTATATTGGTTTTAGTTGTACAGTATAATGGTTAGACAATTATATAACTTATGAAGTGATTCCTCTGATTAGTCTAGTATCCACCTGGCACGATATATATTTATTACAATATTATTGACTATATTCCTTGTGCTGTACCTGTACTTTACATCCCTGGGACTATTTTGTAACTGCCAATTTGAACCTCCTAATTCCTTCGCCTTTCTTAGCCCGCCCCCCGTATGGTAACCATCAGTTCATTCTCTATATCAATGAGTTCATTTTTGTTTTGATTATTTTAATTTTAGATTCCACATATAAGTGAAATTATATGTCTTCATCTTTCTTACTTATTTCACTTATCATAATACCCTCTAGTTCCACCTGTGTTTTTACAAATGGTAAGATTTCATTGTTTTTTTTTTTAAGGCCAAATAATATTCTATTTTATATATGTCTGTCTTTATCCAATTGTCTGTCAGGGGACACTTAGGTGGCTTCCATATCTTGGCTATTGTATATGAAATGTCCTTCTTTGTCTCTTGTTTGCCTTTGTTTTAAAGTCTTTTGTCTGATATAAGTATTACTACCCCAGCTTTTCTTTTCATTTCCATTGGTCTGAAATATCTTTTTGCATCTCTTTACTTTCAGTTTGTATATCTCTTTCATCTAAAGTAGGTCTCTTGTAGATAGTATATGTATGGGTCTTGTCTTCTTCTTCATTAAGCCACCATGTCTTTTGATTGAAACATTTAATCCATTAACATTTAAAGTAATTATAGATATGTATATAGTTATTACCATTTTATTATTCATATTTTTATTTTTTATTTTTTATATTAAATTTGTTGGGGTGACATTGGTTAATAAAATCATATAGGTTTCAAGTGTACAAGTCTGTAATACATCATCTATATTGCATTGTGTGTTTACCACCCAAAGACAAATCTTCCATCACCATATGTTTGACTTCCTTTACCTTTTCTACCTCCTCCCTTCTGCCCTTTCTCTCCTAACCACCATACTGTTGTCTGTGTCTCTAAGTTTTTGTTTGTCTTGTTTGTTACTTTCGGTCTTATATCCCACATATGAGTGAAATTATATGGTTTTCAACTTTTTTCTGTCTGACTTATTTTGCTTAGCATCATAATCTCAAGATCCATCCATGTTGTTGCTAATAGCAATATTTCATCTTTTCTTATGGCTGAGTACTATTCCATTGTATATATGTACCACATCTTCTTTATCTAATTATCTATCAAAGGACACTTTGTTTGTTTTCATGTTTCAGATGCTGTGAATAATGCTATAATAAACATAGGGGTGCATATATCCTTATGGATAAATGTTTTCAGAGTAGATACCTAGAAGAGGGATTGCTGAGTTATGTGATAATTCTATTTTTAGTTCTTTGAGGACCCTCTATATTGTTTTCCATAATGGCTGTACTAATTTACATTCTCACCAGCAATATATGAGGGTATCTTTTTTTCCCAACCTCTCCAACACTTATTACTTGTGTTGTTAATAATAGCAATTCTTATAGATGTAAAATGATACCTCATTGTGGTTTTGATTTGCATTTCCCTAATAGCTAGTGAAGTTGAGCATCTTTCATATGTCTGTTAGCCATTTGCATATCTTCTTGGGAGAAGTGTCTGTTTAGGTCCTCTGTCTGTTTTTTAATTGTAATGTTTGCTTTTTTACTGTTGAGTTGTATGAGTTCTTTATATATTTTGGATATTAGGCACTTGTTGGAAGAATTGTTTGCAAATATATTCTCCCATTTGGATTGTTGCCTCTTTATCTTATTTATGGTTTCTTTTGCTGTGCAGAACCTTTTTAGTTTGATATAGTCCCATTTATTCTTGCTTTTACTTTCCTTGTCTTGAGGTCAAATTCGTAAAATTCCCTCTAAGATCAAGGTTCATGAGTTCAGTACTTATGTTTTCTTCTATGCAATTTATTGTTTCAGGTAATATATTCAGGTCTTTGATCTATCTTGAGTTAATTTTGGTGTATGGTGACAGATAGCAGTCTAGTTTCATTTTTTTGCATGTGGTTTTCCAATTTTCCCAGCACCTTTTATTGAAGAGGCTTTCTTTTCTCCATTGTATGTTTCTGGCTCCTTTGTCAAAAATTATTTGCCCATATATATGTGGGTTTATTTCTGGGGTCTCAATTATGTTACATTGATTAGTCTATGTGTCTGATTTTCTGCCAATACCATGCTGTTTTGGTTATTGTCGCTTTGTAGTATAATTTGAAGTCAGAGACTGTGATACCTCTGCTCTTGTTCTTTTTTTAACCCCCTCAGGATCGCTTTGGTTTTTTGGGTCTTTGTGATTCCACACAATTCTAATACATTTTTGTTGTATATTTTTTAAAAATGTGATTAGGATTTTGATGGAGATTGCATTAAATCTGTATTGCTTTCGGTAATATGGCTATTTTAACTATGTTGTTTCTTCCAATCGATGAACATGGAATATCTGTTCATTTCTTTGTGTCTTCTTCATTTTCTTTTAAAAACATCATGTAGTTTTCAGTGTATAGGTCCTTCACATGCTTTGTTAAGTTTATTCTTAGGTATTTTATTCTTTTTGTTACAGTTGTAAAAGGAATTTAAAAATTTTTTTTCTTCTAAAATTTCATTTTTAATATATAGAAATGCAATGGATTTTTGTACCTTGATTTTGTATCCTGTGACATTACTGTATTTGTTTATTTTTTCTAATAGTTTTTTGGTGACGTCTTTATGGTTTTTTATATAAAGAATCATGTCACCTGCAAAAAGTAACAATTGGACTCCTTCATTTTCAATTTGAATTCTTTTTATTTTTTTCTCTTGCCTGATTTCTCTAGGTAGAACTTCCAATACGATGTTGAATAAGAGTTATAAGAGAAGGCATTCTTGTCTTGTTCTTGATTTTAGAGAAAAAATTTCAGTTTTTCACCATTAAGTATATTAGCTTAGGGTTTGTAGTATATGGCCTCATTATGTTAACATATTTTTCCTTCTATACACATTTTATGAAGTGTTTTGATCATAAATGGATTCTGTATTTTGTCAAATGCTTTTTCAGCATCTATTGATATGATCATATGATTTATATTCCTTATTTTGTTTATGTGATGTATCACATTGATCAATTTTTATACGTTGAAACATACTTGTGCCCCTGGAATGAATCTCACTTTATTGTGATATATGATCCTTTTAATGTGTTGTTGTATTCTATTTGCTAGCATTTTGTATACAATTTTTGCCCTGTGTTTATCAGAGATATAGGTCTATAGTTTGTGTGTGTGTGTGTGTGTGTGTGTGTGTGTGTGTGTGGTTGAGTGTGTGTGTGGTTGAGTGTGTGTGTGTGTGTGTGAGTTTTATCCTTATCAGGTTTTGGTATCGGGTAATATACTCATAAAATCAGTCAAGAAGTATTGCCTCTTCTTCAATTTTTTGAAAGATTGAGGATAGGTATTAAATCATCTTTGAATGTTTTGTAGAACTCACTAGAGAAGTCATTTGGTCCTGGACTTTTATTTTTTGATGATTGCTTCAATTTCCTTACTGTCGATCAGTCTATTTACATTTTTCAGTTCTTCATGATTCAGTCTAGGAAGGCTGTATATTTCTAACAACTTGTCCATTTCTTCTATGTTTTTGAATTCGGTGGCATGTAGTCTTTCACAGTATTCTTGTGTGATCTTTTGTATTTCTGTGGTTTTGGTTGTAACTTTTCCTTTTGAATTTTTGATTTCATTTATTTTTTTTTTTGGTAAGTCTAGTCAGGGTTTGTCACTTTTACTAATCTTTTCAAAGAATGAGCTCTTTGTTGTACTATTTTTTTCTATTTTTTGTTTTCTATTTCACTTAATTCTGCTCTAATTTTTATTATTTCCTTCCTTCTCCCAACTTTGGCCTTCATTTGCTCTTTTTTTCTATTCTTTAAAATGTAACGTTTGGTTGTTTACTTGAGAATCTTCTTGTTTCTTGAGATAGGCCTGTAATGATATAAACTTTCTTCTTATTTCCCCTTTTGCTGTATCCCCAAAGTTTTCATATGTTTTATTTTTATCCTCATTTGTTTCTATGTATCTCTTGATCACTCCTCTTATTTCTTCTTTGACCCTAACTTTCTTTAGTAGCATATTTTTTAATCTCCACATATTTGTGGTTTCTCCCTCTTTCTTTTTGCAGTTTCAAAGCATTGTGGTTGGAGAATATACCTGATATGATTTCAATCTTTGTAAATTTGTTGAGACTAGTTTTGTGTCCCAACATATGGTCTATCCTTGAGAATGTTCCATGTGCAATATAGAAAAATATATAATCTGATATTTTGGGCTGAAAAGTTCTGTAAGTGCTGATTATGTCTATTTGGTCTAATGTGTTATTTAAGACCGAAATTTTCTTATTGATTTTCTGTTTGGCTGCTCAATTGACAGATGGATGCAGTATTTAGGTACCCTACTATAATTGTGTTTTTGTCAGTTTCTCCCTTTAGTTCTGTTAGTAGTTGCTTTACATATTTTGGTGATCCCTGATTGAGAGCATATATATTGATGTGTTATGTCTTCTTGATTATTGTCCTCTTTATCATTATGAAATTTCCATCTTTGTCTCTTGTTATCATTTTTATTAT